AGGATAATCATCTCAGCTACATCTTGGCAATAGCTTGGAACAAATTTTTAGACATGAGTGTAGGAAAATATTGGTTTAAATGCTTTCCCTGCAGCTTTGAATGACAATGAGATGGAGAGAGAGTCTGAAATAGATGCATAACTTGAACTGCAAGCAGCAACTGATAAGGAAACTGGGGCAGAGGGAATGACTCAGTTGGCTGTGGTGCAGTAGCAAATCCACATGGGGCTTTGGAAATGCTCATCCATGCCAGTGATAATGCACCAACCACAGAGATGATTATGACAGTCAGAGAAATTCAGAAAGCAGTAATGAAAAATAACCAACGCAATGAACCAGTGGGAACTTCAGTCAAAGGGCACAAAGGACGACGTTTTGAAAATAAAAGGAAGAAAAGGGACTGAGAGGATCTTTGATCTAAAGGCTTCTTCCTGCAGGTTTTATCTCTCCAGACACAAAAATACAAGGCTTATGTCTATTCCCTTAAGAACTGAACAACACGTCAAAGAGGAGAGAGAGAGAGGGAAATAAGGCCTTCCATTAATCATCATAAAAATGCATGCATGAATGTGACAAAGAGAAAAAAATTGCATATATCTTAAAAATAAATATGTAACAGAAATCTAACCAAATAGCAAAAAAAATTTTAAAAAGTGCAGTAACGTTTGCAGTGACTTGGACAGAATAGGATTGATAAATATACGCTGCTAGCTGATCTCCTTTCATAAGATGACTATTGCATATTTCAAGGGAATGTCTCCCTTTTTCAACCAAGTGGTCTCTAATCCTGACAGATGACATATCAATGCTTACATTCTCTGTTTTGGGGCTTCATGTAAGTATTCTCCATTCTCTTTTCTTTTTGACGGCTTTTTTCAATGTATTTGCTATGTACATAAGCAGGTCTTTAGGGACCCATTATAGAAAGCAGTGTTGAGAATAACTCCATCCTCGCATCTCATTTCACACTTCTAGTGGCAATCACATGAAAGCATCCCCTTTGGGGAAAGGGTGACTCTTAAATTATGTTTAAGCCCTTATTCAGAAAATCAGAAACCCTAACTCAGTTCCATTGCATCTCTATCAGGGGCAGTTAAGGTGGAGGCTGAAACCTTACCTGTCCCCAAGCTTATTTGTTACCACCACCCAAGCCAATGTACATTAGGTGTCAGGAACTGACACTGGAGGAGTGTTGTGGGTCCTGCAAACCCCAGCAACCACACTCCTTCTCTTGGGATCAGCTGCGGGGATTGTATTTCTTCACTAGCTATGCACGTGCCCTGCCGCCATCTGCTCTGCCTTCGTGGAAACTGAGGGTAGGTTCTGCTCGGCTTCATCTGCTTTGCCTCAGGTTTTTGGCAGCCATGCCTGTATGCAAGTTTCTCTCAGCTCTGCCTAAATGGAGAGAGGCTTGAGAGTGTGGCTGGAGAGCTTGAGTTGGGAGTTACCAAGTAGGTCATGTCATGGTCCATTAGTCCCTGCAGCCCTCTCTGGTGACCCCCAGCCAAAGCCCTCTCTGATGTGGTGTGTCCCCCACGCATCACACTTGCTACTGACCTGCATGTGGGAACACGATAACTGGCATTTAGCTCTGTGGACCCTTGCGTGTGGTAAAACTCCCCAAGAAATATAAACTGGAAGGATGTAATAATCTCTTGCATCAAGCAGGGTGAGACAAGCAAGCTCCTCACTGTGTCCTGGCATCCTGAAAGCAAACTGCAGAGAGCTGCAGGACTTTTTCCTTCAGAGCAGCGTTTTACCAAAACCCTACAGAGAATGCAAAGTACATCCCTCCTCGTCTGTGTGCTGAATGGGGGGAGCTGCAGGACCTCCATTTCCTCAGTAGGAAGCAGCAGTCTGTGTGGGGAGGTGTATATGATGGAGATGTGCACATTATTTATGTATTTATTATCACTAGTCTAAATTCAGCCTTGAAAAAATTCAATGGACCCTACATCTCCTGTCTAGCAGTGTGCGAGTGACCTGCGTGTCTGCAGAGCTGGGTCATTGCCAGAGGACTGAGGGTTTTCCATCTGCAAGAAGTGGTGTCCTCACCGCACCTCTGGCTCTCCACAGTCCTCACTCCCTCTTCAGAAGTGACACATGCAGGCCCAGAGAGAGCCAAAATGTTGATTGCATTCTCAGCTCTGTGTGTGTAATGCTGCAGGCAGGTACTTAGTGGGGTTTCCAGGAGCATCTCTGCAGAGTTCATTCCTGCAGCCCACCTGGCTCTTGTGTTCCCCCAAGGCAAGTGTCAGGGCCCTGGGGCACCTGTGGGCCATAACAGCTGTGACCAGCCCCACCAGGGACCCCCACCCAGCTCAGCCCTGAGCACCTGGTCCCCACCTGAGCTACACTCCCCTGCCTCCTGGCTGGACCTGATGCAAGGCCAGGTTGCAAACACATTGAAAAAACAAGAGGGCTGGGGAGACAAAGATGCTGGCAAGCTGTAGGGTGACCTCGCCAGACCTTTTTGGGCAGGGCACATCCCAGGCATCACCCCTGTGCCCTGGTGCTTTGCAGAGAGCAGAGCTCTGGTCTCCCATCGCTCCTGCTGATGCACACTTACATCTAGGTTGACAGCACCTCCTGAGTCACCCTTCTCCCAGGTCTGCTTCCCTGGTTTAGATGTTGTACACAAGCCCAATGGAAGCATTTATGATCAAATCCCTTCCTTTGGGACAGTTCTAATGTGTTTTTTACCTCCCATTAACATCATTCATGCACTTACTAAGATTAAGAGACAATGTCATGTGCTCCTTCACTGCTATACCAAGACGGCTTTAGGTCTTACTGTCTTAGGGACTTAGAAGTAATATAAAATCTACTTGGTAAAAGGCAGGGCTTGCTATCTGATTCGAGTGGGAAGGAGAAAGATTTAACACCCGGGGCGGGGAGGGGTCACCTTCCCAGCTGGCCTCCAAATCTACACATGCAAATCCCTCATTTGTCTGACCAGACGGCGTATTTTAAAAGCGTTGGTGTTTTTCTTTAATTGGTTTAAGAGCTTGGCAAATGCATAAGGTATAGCGAAAACCAGCTCTGTCTCTGTGTTACACATGATTCTGGGTTATCTCACCCCTCTTTCCACAGCCTGAAATGAAAGGAAATAACACAGCCGATTATGGGCTAGAACTGTATGCTTTGCAGGTTTACATGCCTGGGAGCAGCTTGGGATCTATCTATATACCTTATAAGTGCCGTTGTTTAGATTTGTATTTTGCTATAGATATAAAGCGGAAAACATTCCAAAGACCTCTCTGCTAGGAAGATTTTTCTTGCCTATTATTAGCACTCCGCTTTTGCAGCAAGTGCTCATGAGCCAATATGCAGAGTTTTAAAGGACTTCAAAGTGTCATTGGGAACCAAGTGATATGTGTGTTAAAAAGGGTTTAATGGAGCTGCAGTCACTGTAGCACAGTGTCTTTTTATAGCAAGTTTTTACAGCGTTAAGAAAAACATCCTGCAGATTTCAGTAGGATTGGCATATGGATAAGGTACTTTGCACTATGATTTTTGTTTATCTGCTATTAAAAAAAAATGAAAACCAGCATTTCTAGCTATAGGGAGAATGATAAGCAGGAAGAGGTCTGCAAAACTCAGGCAACAGCTATTACTTCTATTTTGGGTTTGTTTTTTTTTTCTTTTTCAGAAGAAAAACATACATTTGGAAGCCAATGGCTTGGTTTAGAGAATGGAGATACAGAGTGATTTGTATTCACATTGAAGCTTTCAACAGTCTTTTTTTTTTTTTTTTTCAGAGCCACTGGATTATATTATCATTGTCAAATTCTGCTTATCAAAGTTGAGGCAAACTTTCCGGGACTGTCTTTAAAAATGTCATAGGTCAGGCTCCCACAGAAAAGAAGTGGTTTGCAGAAAAACCACATCAAATACTAAAGCTGACCTGATCCCTGTGCAGTCATGTTGATCCATAGGAATGCCTGAAGATTTGGCAGGGAATCACTGATTTTAATATATTCTCTATTTTCCCTTTTACAACACCATTTACGAGTCTCCTTTAATTACTCCTGGGAAGCATGTGGGGATGCCAAACGAGGCAGGCTCCTCATTGCCCTTTAGCAACCATGATGATAGACCGCCTACTTCTGAAAGAGCCAGGCAAGGAGTGGAAAGGAAAGAGGAGTACCTGCGGCCAGCTGTGGGGGTAAAAGACTTGCCCAGGGTTAAACAAAAAGGCAGAGGCAGAGGTGGGATGTAGCTCTGGCTCTCCAGTGCCTCAGCCCTACATTGTACCCTTATAGCCATCCTTGCATCCACAGTGTCTGGGATTTAGCTGTTTGGACTTGTTCCACCTCTGAAGTGACGTCATTTAAACATATTTTACTCTCTGCTTTTGCTTCAGGCTGGGGAACGATGGGTTTCTGCGTTATCTGGCGGAATTAAAAAAAAAAAAGAGACAGGGAAACCTTTAGTTGTTGTGGTCGCCAAAGCAGGAAAAGATCAGGGCTTTTCAAGCCTCGCAGGAAGCTGGGGGGTGCAAACGAACGTGCTCAAAGCTGATGAGAGCAGGGGTTCAGCTCCCACTGCTGCCCTTACGCCAGCAGCTGCCTCCCGTCCCCCCCAGCTCGACCCCAGCAGAACCAAAGCCCTGGCGAAACCCCAGCGTGGGAGCCCTGTGGCTGCAGTGCCCCATCCCTCCCCCCCCCCGTGGCACCAGCCCAGCGGCCTCTTTCTTTTATTTTTCACGCTCTGTCCTGCCAAACGGAAACCCTGGTCGAAAACTCTTACAGAAGCAGCCAGAGATACATTTCTTTTCTTGTCTGCGGAGGAAGACAGAGGAGTGACGTTGGGGGGGAAGGGTTTGTGGGGTTGCGATTTTTTTTGTTTTTTTTTTTTTCTTTTTGCAACACTAGTTGTTCAGGGGAGTGTCTTGCGTTATTAATGCTGAGTGGCTCCAGTACTGTGGTTTAAGGTCGTTAGTCATCCGCTGCTACCGCAGGAGGCACGGGAGCGCTGAGCCAGAGCTGTTCGTGCAACCCTCGTGGTCCTCCCAGGCCAGCAGGTTGGGAAGAGGTGCAAATGGGGCAGCGGGGGTGTGTGGGGGTGCGGAGAGCGGCCCGGGGTGGCGGGGGCACCCTCCCAGCCCGGTCATGGGGCGCCCACCTGCATGGGACTTGCCGGGTTGTGGTGGGTGGCTGCACAGCCACCCCAGATGGTCTGAGAGGGGCAGAGGGGTGTGTGAAGGGCAGGGGATGGGACAGCACCTCTGAGGCGAGAGTGTGGGATCCCCCGTGCACCCCATGAGAGGGCAGACGTGTGTCCCCCCGCCTGGGAAGCAGTCTAGCTTCTCTGTAGTATAGCTACAGAGGCGTGCAAGTCTCCTTTCACCCTAAGCTGCTGATGAGACAAGGATGCAGGATGCTCCCTGAGCATTAAGGGAATACAGGTCCACATGCACCCTTCCCACCTGATTTCTTCCTTTTTTTCCTTCCTTAGGATGAGGGGTTCTAGGCAAACATTCCTTAATTTATTCTGCATCCTCTGGCTCCCACTTCTGCTGAAGGCTGCCTCTTCCTCCCCTCTCCCCCATGGCAACACCCCACCACCCGCTTCGCTCCCCTCTGGGCTGTACAGAGGACAAACCTGCGTCGGTATGTATTCAGGTTTTGCTGAACTTGTTCATTTGTTACTCCACCGGTGAGCTGAGAATTGCTATGCACATCATAAATCACTCCTTTATCTATTTCAACAGCTGTACTGCAAAATACTCGTAGTCTTTGGCAAAATAATCACTGAAGATTTTGCAAGGCCAGCGTGGGGTCTGGAGTTATTTTACGATTTTGTTTTTGAGTGGCTGCTTCCCAAAGTTCATGTTTTCGCTCTGCTGGGAATGGCGTCTGAAAAGCTGGCTGTAACATCTGTCGGTCTAGGACCTGGAAACAAGGTGTTAGGGAGTGCTAGTATTTATTAGGGTTCATGATGCATTTTGCTTCACTGCAGGAAGGCACAATTTCCCTCAGACTCACCCAGGGTCTCCTCATTGATTTCACTGCCTGGGAAACTTCTCTTAAAAACAGTTGGTCCGTATTTGGGCTGGAGAGCTTTGTGGTCTGGATGGTCATCTCTGGATAGCCAAGTTGCAAGGGCTGTTTCCTCACATTTCCTTTCCTTTTCACAAGTGCACGTGTCTGCACGACCTGTACTACAGTGGGGCGAGCGTGTCTTGTCAATTCCTCTTTCATGTGACATTGGTGACTGTGGTGATCTCTGCAGCAGCTATAGCTGGGGGTATCCTACAGCCTCAGCTGACTAAGAGCAAGACCAGTAACACCAAAGTCAACGTGAACTGTGGGCATCTCTGCACCAGAAATGCCCTTGGCATGAGACTCTCTATACCTAGAGAGATACAGTAGCTTGTATTTTTTATGTGAGCAAATGTTAAATGATGCATGTGTCTTATGCATTATGATAAAATGTTTTATCTTCTTTTAGTTTTTCAAGGCACTTTTGTGCTGTAAACATAAACCCTGTCATGGTTCTCCATCCTTCAAAAGGAAATATTTTCATTCAGCCCAAAACTATTTTCACTGTGACTCAAGGAACACAATTAGAAATAATAATCCTAAACTTGATAAAATCAGGTTTTTGCCTCACTTCTGAGCCATCCACAGTGCGCTCGCAGATTTTGGTGCTGGTGAGGCAGGGTGAACTGAAAGCGGAGCGAAGTCAGGGCGGTGAGGCTTGAGTAGCCCATGCCAGGGTTTAGCTACCAGCTGGAAAATGAGAACAAGTTGTGTAAAGCAGAAATGGCTCTCAGGGACTGGCCTTGTTTGGGCTGGCAGCCACACAGTGACCGAGCAACAGCCAGAGCGAGAGGGAAGTGGTGGTTTTTTGATGGCGAGATCTTTAGGCAGCTACGGTTTTGATGCTGCAGAAAAGATGGTGAGCGTGCTCGCCTGTAGAATTTTTACACTGGTGTTTTTTAAATGTCAGGTGTGAGCGTTGTCTGCCCTTCCCATCCTACAGACCCAGCAAGGCTCTAAATTCCTAAAGTGACTGCACATTGCATTGAAGTTGCCTTGCACAAGATAAATTGTGCTTTTTTTTTCCTCCCAGAAGGAGAAAAGCTGTGCCAGCCCCGTTGCTGGGACCACTGAGCATCTCTGTTCAGTGGGGAGACACCAAAAAACCTGCCTCCCACACCAGGTGCTCTCTCTGAGGTGTCCCTTCAGCGAAAAGCATCCACATGATCTTGACTCAGGACCAAAACAGACTGTCCACACCTCTGTAAACCACAAGCTAAAAATGAAGCATGCAGAGCGTTACAACTGCAGGGGCCGGGCCTGGCAGGGAGGGCTGGCGACTGCACACAGGCAGGCTGCTGCCTGCTAGCCCAGGCGGCCACCTTTGGGGCTTTCACCGATTAGCTGCTCTCTCAACTAACTCTTGAAAACACTGACAAGCCATCTGTGTCTCTTCCTTTTCACAAGCGGGAAAGGGAAAGCACGGAAGAGCTGATGGTTACGCTTGCCATGGCATGGAGCAGGGGTAACATCAATTCTTGCAGATGATTCAGTGACCAGCCCTCTTGGGAGCAGAAATTAAGCTGAGATGAGCTTCAGCGGTAGGAGGAAGACTGTGATTTCTTTTCAACAGCTCGACCCCAGACCTCGCTAGCTCAGTTTGCCATCTGGGAAGGCACTGGGAGAGAGCCATGAGAATTTCCTCTGTGTCTTCTTGGCCTTATAGATCAAGGTAGCATTTTTAATGTGAAAAATGCCCGCTGCCAAATGTATAGGAGATTTTCTTGAAGAAATTGACTTTTTCATCCCAGTTAAATGTGTGGTCAAGTGCCTAATCTTTCAGAGTTATTTGCCTCCCTTTTCTGAGGGAAATGAGGTGGCTACACATTGAATAGGCATTTCTGATCATTCCTGTGATGATTGAGATTGCTATGTTAGCAGCCAAAACCGGCCAGAAAATGGATGCTCTTTCAGTAACAAAACCAAGAAAATATTTTCCATTAAGCCTTTCCACCGAGAGTATCACACTTCTTGAAGAAATACGTAGAAATTATATGGCAGGAGAGCAAAATGCAGCCCTGGCACCTCCGTTGAATGAGATACAACTTGGTTGCTTCCTTCTGTTTCCCTTGCTAGTCGTGCTCCCTGGGTAGGCACCATCTGCCCCAGTATACTCTGGTCATTCTGGGAAAGCAGCTGGATGCTTCAAGGGACTCCCTTGCCCTTAGCACATCCTGGGAAATGTATTTTGGGTAGGCACCTATATACTGATACAGAATAAGGCTGGAGGAGAGGAGGGTATGCATCCAGTGAGGTGCCATAGCAGGCTGAACAGTTCAGACAACTCCTAGGGGGAGGTTGGCCAAAACATTTCTGCTTTCAGATTGTTACTTGTCTAAAAAAGAAGGTGACTTTTTTACAGCAAACTTAATTGTGTTGGAAAACATTTAGAGGGAAGTTTTAATCAGCCTCAGTAACTATAGAAAAAGTCACATCATTTTTTGCTGCGTTTTCTTGAAAAATTTGGCTGCTTCATTCAGAGAAAATCTTTTCATAATGGTGTGTAAAAATAAAACTCGGTGTAAAAATAAAACACCTGGAAAGTGTTCCCACCCAAAAAGGGATTTAATAGTACTGCCTTTTAGAATTATGGAAAAGAGGGGGAAAGGACCTGATGATAATCCTCCTGGCCACAAGATCAGATGTAGTATACCTAAGCAATTCCTAACTGTCTCCAACCTGCGCTTAAATAGATACATGGTCTTTCTTTTGCCCTGTCACTAGAAGAATTTCCCCAACATTTGACAGTCTCTTCTCTCCGTCAGCGTTTCCTGCCTCCCCAGGCTGGAATAATGCTCCCCTTTTTGCGTACCATGAGATCAGCTCAGGCCCTTCCTCTGGGCCTCTTGCACACTTTGCACGTGATATGTTCTTCTGCTTTTTCCGCATGGTAGATAAAAGGGCTTTAGTAAGTTTCCCTATATGCAAAGACCCATGAAGCTGTTTTTTCTCATGTAAAGACAGTGAGTTTTGGCTCTGTGCGCTGGTTTGGGAGCTGGATGCTAGGCCTGGTTTTCGTTTCTGGGTTTGTTAGTGACTGGCAGTATGGCTTAAGGAATTTATCCAGGACGAGACCTAGAAACTCTTTTGCTAGGGGCAGCCTGGTAATTTCAGTGGGGCATCCTGAGAACAAGATGCTGTGTATTTTTGTCTCAAAAATTAATATGAATGATCCCTTCAGATACTCAGGTCTTTGACTTTCCCAGTCTGTCAAATGAGGAAAATAATGCCCATTTCACAGGGCAAGCAATGTTTTACTTAAGTTAATGTTAAGGTACCCAAAGACAGTAGAGTAACACTGGTGACTGTTGACACTGGTGTTAATGTTTCATCATACCTAAGATCATGTCCTTTATTTTTCTATTATTTCTGATTAATTTTTAAAGGTTTTATTCCACACGCCCCACCACCCTAAATTATGACAGAGCCCTTAAAGAGTCTTTACAAATTGTCCTGTTCTCTAGCAAAGGTGACTTCATCCAGAAGTATCCGAAGCAACCTCAGGAAAGGCAGAAGCTGCCCTGGGGGATGCAGAAAGCAGGGGAGACACTGAAAGACAGGAGGGAACTACTGTATTCATCTCTTCAGCATGGTGAAGAAAGGAAATCTGGGGAACTGTAAATCAGTCAGTTAAACATCAATTCCTAGAAAAATCCTTCAATAGTTAATAGAACTTCATAAAAGCACCTTTCAAAAGTAAATATGAGTAAGAGCCTCACTGGATTTATCAAGGAGAAACAGTGTCAGATCAATCTAATTTTCTTTGCTGATGGGATAATGTCATGTAGACACAGAAGAAGTAGCAGATGTTACAGCTGGACTTTAGTAAGGCTTTTGGCACCACCTCAGCACTAACTTAATGGCTGAGAGACATGTGACATTGCTTAAGCTTCTATAGGGCAAGACAAAACTGGTGGGTGGCCTTGTTCAGAGAGTAATTACAAGTGGCTCATTCCCAAAGCGGAAGGATGTACAAAATGAGGTCTTTCTTGGACCTCTGTTTTGAACATAGTATCATTCCATATTTTCATTAGCCAGGATAATGAAACAGTGTGCTATTAAATTAGGAGCTCATATAAAGCTGAAAAGGTTTGCAAGTACAATGGAGGGCAGGATTAAATTCAAAACAATCTTGAAAACTTGGAGTACTTGCCCCCCAAAAAGATCATTTCAATATGGGTATGTTGAAGGCACTTCAGCAGAAACAATGACACACATAGCGGATGAGGAACGACCGGCTGGGTAGCATCCCTAGGGAAGATCATCTGGGCTTGTAGTGGCACGATGATGGCATGCTGTCACGAAGAACACACACACTGCGTACACTGAGACGTGTGAACAGAAGTTAGCTTGCAAGACATGTGAAGTAACCCGCTACCTTTCTCAGCATTGACAAAGCCTCAGAGGAATTTCTGCCTTCCCTTTTGGGGCTGTGCATCAAGCATGATGCAGAGTGACAGGAGGTTTTGGAGAAAACCAAACATAAGCTATAAAGAAAGACTGAATAAATTACAGTTAATTAGTCTAGAGAAGAAAAACTTGAGAAAAGACATGATATTTGTCCTCAA